CCGCGTCCNCGCAAGCAGCGCCGCAAACTCGCCGTTGCTCTCCAGGTGCAGCTCACGCAACGGCACGCCAAACGGAAGCTGCCCCAGGAACGGCATCCGCTCGCGCAGCGCCGCCTCCTGCCTCACCACCGCCGCAGCCAACTCCGTGGCCCGCGCCCTCAAAGACTGCTCCTTCGCCGCGAGCGCCTCCGCGTTGTCCCCTGGCGCCGCCGCGAGCACCGCGCGCTCCTTGGCGAGCGCCACAAACTCGTCGTCCTCCGACAGCCCCAGTGCGCTGAGAGGAAGCCCGGCGCGCACCACGCCCTCCAGGTACGGGTGCTGCTCCAGCAGCCGCCCCTCCGCGCGGGCCTCCGCCCTCGCCGCCTTCAGCTCGTCGGCGCCCAGCTGCTGCATGCGGCGCCTCAGCTGCTCCTCCACGCACCGGATCATCGGGGCATTCGCCTCCCTGTCCTCCGCCTCCAGCGTGTCGCGCAGCACCACAAGTTCCTGGTAGTACGCGTCACTTCCGACCAGCGAAGACACGCGCCGCGGCCTCCGTGGCAGCTGCACATCCGCGTCCGCCACCTCCTCCAGCGCTTCCTCTGGAACGGCGGTCGCGTGCAGCTGCCTTGCACGCCTCTTCCGCTGGCGCCGCGTTCTGTAGTCAGTGACTTCCCCGTCTTCGTGCGCAGCATCGTCAAAGGCAGCAAGGGAGTCGGGCCGGGCCGGGCCCTTCCGGCGCCTGCGCGCGGTCTCCACCTCAACGCCGCGCCTGTGCAGCAGCTCGTCCACATCCGCGATCGCGTCACTGCTGCCCGCCGGGTCCTTCAATAGTTCCTCGCGTTGCGCCATGAGGCCTGCGACGATGGGGTCCTTCGCGACCGCGTCCCCCACGTCACGCGCGCACATGGGATACTGCCGGTGAAGCGCTTTGCGCGCCGCCGCGGCCGCCAGCTCCGCCCCGTCTTCCTCGCTCACCAGCCTGGCCGCGCCCTGCAGCAGCGCCTGCGTCGCCGCCGCCAGCTCCGCCCCTTCCGCCTCCGGACGCGCCGCAAGTTCATCGTAGGCGGCAGCCAACGTCGCGAAGCGCGGGCTCCGTTGCACACCTTCTGTTGCCAGCAGCGGGGCCGCCGGCAGCGCCGCGAGGAACGGATACTTGGCCAGCAGTGCGTCCTCAGCCGCCGCACGTGCCAGCGCCAGCGCCTCCACGCGCCCCCGCAGCTCCTCCTCCTTCGCGGCGATCGCAGACGCGTTCTGCACAGGACTCTGCATCAGCTGCAGCCGCTCGTCCGCAAGTGCCGCGTAGGCGGGGTCGCCCGGGAGGCCAAGCTCGCGCAAGGGGACCAACCGCACCTCGTTCGCCTCGAGGAAGGGGTTGCGCGCACGCACCGCCTCGTCCTCGTCGGCGCGGAATGCGTCCACGGCCTTCTTCGCGGCGGCGACCTCGCCCGCCCGCCCGCGCAGTTGCCGCTCCACCGCCGCGAGCGCCTCGCGGTCCTGGCCGGGACCCGCCGCCACCACTGCGTCGCGCTTGGCCACCAGCTCCTGGAACGCGGCGTCCCCCGCAAGGCGCAGGTCGCCCAACAGCACGCCGCCCACGCGCCGCGAGAGGAACGGGCAGGCGCGGTGCTCCTCCTCCGTCGCCCGCAGCTTCGCAGCGCCCAGCTCCAGCACCCGCTCGCGCAGCGCCCCCTCCGTCGCGGCGATTTGCTCCGCGTGCTCCACCGGGTCGGCGCGCAGGCCGTCCAGCGCGTGCGACAGCACGCGGAACGCGGTGTCCTCCAGCAGACCCACCTCCACGAGGGCGACGCCGGGCGCCGGCTCCTCCGGCAGGTACGGGTACTTCTCGT